ACATTAAAAAGAAAAGGACAGAGAAAGAGCTGCCTGCCGCTTTGGTAAAACAAAATTTTTACAAGGATCCATTTTCACAAACAAAAAGAGTGAATAAAAAAAGCTTTATCGTTCACTCACTGTATAATACCCTGCTCAAAACTCCCTCCAACCTCTTAGAGTTATAGAAATTATAGAAATACACCAAAGACGTGTATACGTCAATCATTTACAAATACATATAACAAGAGACAGTGGAAAACTCCAGTAGAACAGGCTTTTTAAAAATAAAAACAAAGAAGTAAAAGAACAGCCACACTGAGATTATGCTGTTCACCAACCCAACCTTGCACGGATTAGGCGAAAAAGGTCAAATCTTTGTGCTGTAAGTGTTGTCATTACTGACTCGCAGTTTACTGTAAACTTGCACAATAATAGCCACATTTCAATAACAACAGAATATTCAGACAATTGTAACCCAGAAAAAAGAAAGAAAATGTTTTTAATTATATAAAGAACAGGAACACTTAAGAATCACTTTAAATTATGAGATTTAAAATGACACTATGTCCAACATTTACAACTTTTACTTTTGTTCAACTTTCCAATGCCATCGTGCTCTCATTTTTACATTTTACGCCCCAACCAGCACCAAACGCCGCTCAAATGGTCTTCGCAAATTAAAAAAAACCCAAAAGCCTCAGTTCTAAAAAAAATACACATTTCAGACACACCATAAACAGAGATACATACATACGTGTACATATTTTAAAAAAACAGTAAAGGACGCGTTTCAACTCTGGGCCACCCAAAACAAAATAACACATAAAAGATTATTAAAGAAAACACCAATCATGACCACTATACAGCTTTCAGAAATGACATCCCTGCACCGACAGATCAGCAGAGCACAGCACAGAACCACTAACCAATGAGCTCAACCTCCACCACGTTCATCTACCTTGACTAACTGGACACACAGGAGACAGGAAAAAACATAGCCTAAGAACGGACAGCATGCGTATAATATCTTTTAAAATACCTATCTATATCTAACAGGCTCTAAATTGTATATTATAAAAACTAAATTTCTAACATACTTATAAGATGCTATTTCGATAGTAATTTATTCTTATTAATAGTGCTCTTATGGTCATAATATAATGTGCATTCTATCATATTTCTATTGTGCTGTGATAGTATGAATGTTTGCTTATTAATTATGTATTGGCCTTAATCTAAAGAGCGCATTTTGCATATATATTCATTGACTAGTGGTTTGTGTTGGGATGAAGGTATTGTAAAGCTCCTAGAGTTGTATTGTACAGGAGTAGCTGCTAAAGAAATTATCTGGCTATTATATTATTATTATTATTATTATTATTATCATTATCATCATTATTACTATTATTTCTCCACTAACGACAGACTAAAAATAATTATTCCAATCTTCGGACACATCGCTTCACTGAAAGGGCATTTACCAACGATGAAATAGCTTCTGTCACCAAATACGGTTACTATCCTACATAAACAGCGAATAACATCTACAATTCTTTATTACTGATGATACTTTAAAGAATAACGAGACAATAAATTAAACACACACAACTGAAACTAAACAAGACGGCAAAACAATTAACCAATATCAATTTGTTCTGAGCTTGAAAATACAAACGTGTCGAGAGAAGTGAAACAGCATGCAGAATAGAAAAAAACGTAAGCACCTATAATCTACGTGTCCTCATGTCAAAGTCAATACAATAAAACACAGTGGAATAGCCATCAACATACATTCATACACATTACATCAAAAAATTAGACAGAAAAAAGCAGAACAAAGTTTCCACAGGGCCGCTTAGACCCACCATAAATTATAGTATAGCTTACACATACAGAAAATCAATCGCTGTGGACGAATGCAGCGTATTGCAAACAACAGAACAACCAGGAACTAACGCAGAAGTTCCAGCTGTGTGGGGTTAAAGTGTTTGGGGTTTCCCCTGTACTCCTCCTTCATTACATTGTGAACAAGTTGCAAAAATTTTGAATTTTGCCCAGATGGCGGCTGAAGCCTACTCTCATCAATTTTAGACCACCAAGGAATCTTTAAGGTGAGCAACTTGCACACGAGACCTCCAAGATTTTTCGCCCTTGTTCAAGAAAGCTAGGTGTAGATCTTTCTTACCAGAAGACCAAGGTTGTGGCTGAAAGACAGCAGTAAGAAAGAGCCAAGGAGTAGCAGTAGAAAGGCTGCAGAAAGAGACAGGAGCCCAGAGGAAGGGGCAAAGGAGGTGAGGGGGTGAGGACAGAAAGTGGAGACGAAAGCAGACGACAGAACATTGCTAGTGAGCAGGAAAGAAAGTGAAAGGAGACAATCTTAGAGAAGAAAATTTTTTCCGTTGCTACCCGGATTCGAACCCGGGACCTTTGAATGAGAGGCAAACAAACACCTTAACCTCTAGGCCACGAGAGCCCCCCGATATATATCATAAACCTTCGACTAGACACTATAAAGCCATGTAGAAAACTACATTAAAGCAAAACTCACTTCTCAACAACAATTTAAAAATAACTGAAAAGGTGAGGAATAAAATGAGTGTATGAATTAATTATCAAAAGCCCTTGGTACAATATTGCACTCGTTGTACTTATATATATCGACTCACGAGTGTAAATCTGGACTGCTGTAAAAAGACAAACTAAGCTGTAACATCTACATTATTAAAGACCTGGGCAACTGTTTTCTCGAGAGAAAGGAACAGAGCTTGTGTAAAACTTGAGGCCAATAACTCAAAAGTGAAACATGAACAGCAATTGTGCCCCAGGTAAAATTGGGGTGAAAGAAAGAAAATCTATAAATCAATCAATACTACAACAGCTCAAAGTAGTTAGTCATCTCGAATGTCGAAGATAAAGAAACTATCGTGTCTACAGGTACTCTACTCAATCAAACAAAGACTGTCAGTTCACACGAGTCAAGCAGCCACAAAGCTCTGACTATAGCTCCCCCCCCCATTCACTTCATGATTGGTAACCACAAGAGCTGAGCATCAAAATGGAATTACCAAACATTTATAATATATATACAATCCTTTTTAAACCTTTACAGAACCAACCCTTTTCAAACCTTTATAGAACCAACCCTTTTCAAACCTATCTCCTGGTCACTCTCATTCAATATGTACCTCAAAAGAGAACAAATTAGCATCAAACAAACATTTCAACAGCTTTAGTGTAAGTGTAAGACTCCACCATACACCATTTTGGAAAGTGACGTACGACAGTGGCTTTGCACACATAAAATACAAACGTATGAGGAGAAAAAGTCGTGAACTCCACACAAATTTCCAAACCATCCGGAATTGTAAGTTCAAGGGTCTGAATATAAAATAAACGGAAATATCCGCCAGTTACAGAAAAAAACCGTCCAAAATAGTATAGTATAGTGGGTGTGACACCCCTTGAAACACGACTACCAGTCCGGTAACCTAATCGACCCGTTAAAATTTGTGTTAAATTAAGAATGAGAATGTAGGGTATTCGAGTTACAATTATTACCTTTGAAGTTTACAGCCTCCGCCCACATCCCCCGAAAATTCAGTTGGCAGCAACGTCCGCCTACTTACTAATAATAGCAACCAAAGGAGTTACCCTTAGGCAGACACCACTGAATTTTGAAAGCTCACAACCTCAGAATTACAAAGTCCTATCAGACATTTTTGGCCGTTTTGAGTTACTGAGACCATGAGATCAGAAATCAAATGCTCTATCTGCTCTATCAAAATGGAGCGATTATTCCGAGTCGTTATCACGATATTCAAAGAGCATTCTTTGAAAAAGCTTGAAAAAATATAGTGAAACTCACAATTTTTTCACGTCAAATTTCTCAAAAACTAAGTACTGAGCAGATAGAACTTTGTCATTCTGAGGTCGCTGCTATCACACTAGCACCGCAGTGAGGAAAAGACCGTCACAATGTCAAGTAAAAACAACATACACGCAAACTGAATGTAAAACAATGGAATATTACCACGACACTACGAGTAAAACAATAAAGCTGCAGTACCAAAGCAATGACAAGAAGGGCAAGCATTAATACTACTAAACCTAGTTTGTGAGACCTCTAGTGGCTAAAGAAAAGGGGTCTCCTTACGAACGAAAAAATATTGTTATTGAGTATTTTAAAAAAGGACTCTGAACATAGCCACATAACCTACAGAGAAAAGCATAAATAGATTTTTAAATCAACCAAACTCACAATAAAACATTTGTGAAGAGCACAAAATGGCACGCCTTGTGTCTTCAATCCCCAAAGCTGACAACAATCACTTCTTCAACAAAACCACTAAAATGTAATCTTTTTCTTTTTGTCTCAATTCGAAAAAAATTGGGAATTCCAGGGGGGAAAAAATGTAGACAATGTTCGCACTTAAAACATAAAAGTGGAAGAAAAGTTCAAAGACAAAGGTTGCTATTATCTTTAAACCCATATTTTCACCTCAATGTAAGAAAGAGAAAAACTAAGGCAGCGAGCTTTCACAATAAAATAACTCATTGAGATTCAGGCCTCAAATGTGGTACACTTGCAACATCAACACAAATCTTTTTTTTTTTTTTTTAGTAAGAGTTTTACAGCACTTGCAACACAATAAGGTCATATAAGTGGTGCTGAAGATTAGAGGTGTTACAAGAGAGTAACAAACACAAAAAAGAAGGGGAGGGGGGGGGGGGGGGGGGGG